AAAGAAAGAAAGAGGGGCTGGGAAGGTGGCTCAGTGGTAGAGCGCTTGCCTTGCATGCCTGAGGTCCTGGGTTTAATTCCTCAGCACCAATAAGAAAAAAGAAAAAAAGCCGGAAGTGGCGCTGTGGCTCAAGTGGTAGAGCGCTAGCCTTGAGCTGAAGAGCTGAGGGACAGCACTCAGGCTCAGAGTTCAGGCCCCACAACCAGACCAAAAAAAAAAAGAAAAGAAAGAAAGAAAGAGGGGGGGGGGAGGATGGGAAGGGATGGGAAGGGGAAACAAAGGAGGAGGCTACAATGCTTGATAAGAAATGTACTCATTGGGCTGGGAAGTTGGCTCAGTGGTAGAGCGCTTGCGTTGCATGCCTGAGGCCCTGGGTCCTATTCCTCGGCACCATATAAGCAAAAAGAAAAAAGCCGGAAGTGCCGCTGTGGCTCAAGTGGTAGAGTGCTAGCCTTGAGCTGAAGAGCTGAGGGACAGCGCCCAGGCCCAGAGTTCAGGCCCCAAGACCGGACCCAAAAAAAAAAGAAAAGAAAAGAAAAAAGAAAGCTGGAAGTGGTGCTGTGGCTCACGAGGTAGAGCACTAGCCTTGAGCTGAAGAGCTGAGGGACAGTGCCCAGGCTCAGAGTTCAGGCCCCACGACTGGCAAAAAAAAAAATGTACTCATTATCTTGCCCATGTAATTATAACCCCTCTGTACAGTATTTTCACAATAAAAAAAAAGAAAGAGAGAAAGAAAGAAAGAAAAGATGACAACTGAACCTCCATTCTTCAGAGGCCCTGAGCTGAAACTATGGAAGCAGGAAGAGTAATTTGGATCATAACATGTTCTGGGATTATTCCAGGAAGTGAGAGCTGATGGGAGGGGCAGAGATTTGGGCCAGATGATAGAACAGAGGGTGAGGATGCCTCTTGTCTAAGAACCATTGCACCAGACGAGGTTAAGCAAGTAAGGTAGATTCTATTCAGGATTATTGTCATAAGACAGGGAGACTAAACTCAACTCCCTGGTAACCACCATTAGGAGGGTCTTTCACTAGTGGAAAGTATGGGGCGGGGGGTGGGTAATAGGAAAGGGTGGCCCACAAAACATATCCTGAGAGGCCAAAGTTTATCTCTCTGATAAGGCCACTGTGTCAGTTCCTGCTTGCTTATCCAAGTTAAGCTGTTACCTCCCACCATGTCTGGCGATTCTATCACCAAAGACTTGGCTCCCCAGTCTTGGAGAAAAGTTGAAAAGAAAGCTAGCTAGAGGACTGCAGATAAGTCTCTCCATTTCCAAGGGGTGGAGAAAGAAAGGACAAAGTCAAGTTTTCTCAAATGAGGGTTGTATGGGTCTGTGTTCTGTGATGGTGACTGAATCTATAGTCATTATATAGATCATTTATAAAGAATAAATGTATCCGGGTGCCAGTGGCTCATGCCTGTCATCCTAGCTACTCAGGAGGCTGAGATCTGAGGATCATGGTAAAGTCAGCCAAGGCAAGAAAGTCCATGAGACTCTTTATCTCCAATGAACCACCACAAAACTAGAAGTGGTGCTGTGGCTCAAGTGGTAGAGCGCTAGCCTTGAGCTGAAGAACTCAGGGACAGTGCCCAGGCCCAGGGTTCAAGCCCCACAACCAACAAAAACAAAAAACCCGAAGTGGTACTATGGTTCAAGTGGTAGAGCATTAACCTTGAGCACAGAGAGATTCAGAGACAGTGCCCAGGCCCTGAGTTCAAGCCCCACCACTGGGGGGAAAAAAAGTCTCATGGACTTTTCTGCCTTCAAACTTCAGTCCTCAGAACTCAGCCTCCTGAGTAGCTAGGTGTGAGACACTGGTGTTGACAACTAGCCTTCCTTTGACTGGTTAATTTTGAGATAGGTTCTCACTTCCTAGTGCATGCCTAGACTGTGATACACCTATATTTTAGGCTTCCTGCTAAGATGGCAGGAGAGGGGAATGGCACTCACATGTAAGCTCAGGCTGGCCTCAAACCACGATCCCACCAATCTCAGCCTCCCAATTAGTGAAGATTACTGGTGTGAGCCACTGGCACCGACTTTGCTGTATCTTTTCTGTGTTCATTCTGCCTCAGCCTCCCAAGTGCTGGGATCACAGGCATGCGCCACTGTGCCTAGCTTCCGGCGGCGCCTTAAGATGACAGAGGGTAGCCAGGCATCGGCGGCTCACACCTGTCATCCTAGCTACTCAGGAAGCTGCGATCTGAGGATGGCAGTTCGAAGCCAGCCAGGGCAGGAAAGTCTGTGAGACTCTTATCTCCAGTGAACCACCAGAAAACCAGAAGTGGCACTGTGGCTCAAATGATAGAGCACTAGCCTTGAGCTGAAAAGCTCAGGGACCAGGGACAGCGCCCAGGCCCAGAGTTCAAGCCCCACAACTGATCAAAAAAAAAGATGGTGGAGTTCATCAGGGGTGAGACAAAGCAAGTACTCTAGCTCAGCTTTCTTCTCCTAAAGCCACTAATTCCATGCTGCCGGCCCCATCCTGAGGACCTCATCTCATCCTAATTACCCTCCCAAGGTGTCACCTCTAAAGACCAGCCACATATTGATGGGGGGGGGGGGGGGAGTCATGTTTCCAAATTAAGAACTTGGGGGGAGAGGGAGACATGTTCAAACCCTAGCAGTCCTCTAAGAAATTGGAGGCCAAGAGGCCTGCAATCAAGGAGAAAACTGTGCAAAACACATTCCACTTCAGAGGACCCTTAGTTCGGCTGATATGATGACTACATCCTGCCCAGGTGTGTGGGTCATGACCCCCAGATCTCGGCACGTGCTCAGGGCTCTTCCTGCCCGGTAATAGGAGAGTGAGTCTGACTCCAAGCAGCAGATGACCCAGCTCAAGAGTCTGAGCCTCCCCGATCTACCTGCGTGTGTCAGGGAGGGTTAGGGCGATTCCTCTAGCTGCCTGTCCTGTCTCCTACCTCTCCTCCACATTTGCTTCCATTCTCTTTGCATCCCATGTGTACGACACAATGTTTTGTTTATTCTATTGCACACAGGGGTGGGGTGGGGTGGCTCGGTGGTAGAGCAGAGGGTTCCCGGCATTCCATCCCTACTACCACAAAATAATGATAATAATAATTTCACATATGACTGCTTGCCTACACGTAAGCAGTCTATAAAATGTTTTAAAGATTTTCTTTGTGTGTGAGCTGGGTGCTTGTGGCTCACAGCAGTCATCCTAGCTACTCAAGAGGCTGAGATCTGGGCTGGACAGGTAGCTCAGTGGTAGAGTGCTTGCCTTGCATGCATGAGGCCCTGGGTTCAATTCCTCAGCACCACATAAGCAGAAAAGGCTGGAAGTGGTGCTGTGGCTCAAATGGTAGAGCGCCAGCCTTGAGCTGAAGAGCTGAGGGACAGTGCCCAGGCCCAGAGTTCAGACCCCATGACCAGCAAAAAAGAAAAAAAAGAGGCTGAGATCTGAGTATCACCGATCAAAGCCAGCCCTGGCAGGAAAGGGCACGAGACTCTTATCTCCTATGAACCACCAGAAAACCAGAAGTGGCGCTGTGGCTCAAATGGTAGAGCGCTCGCCTTGAGCTGAAGAGCTGAGGGACAGCGCCCAGGCCCAGAGTTCAAGCCCCACAACAACCAACAAAATACATTGATAAATAAATGAATGAAAGATCTTTTGTATAAGCAAGGATGGCTCCAACCTCATCCCAAGCCGCCATCTCAACCTCATCCCAAGCCGCCATCTCAACCTTGTCAGAGTAGAACCAGAAGAGGCAGCGCTGTGCACCCTACCACCCTTGGCTCTGTCTCAAGCACCCGTGAAGGGCTGGGAGTGCCTAGAAGCCCCACTGTAGCTGTCAGCCATCCTCCTCTGCCTCAGACAGCAACCACCGGGCCTTTACTTTATCAAATCCTTATCAGTGTTAAGTCTATGCACAGATACAGCAAGCAATAGTTTGTTTACTTAATAAATACTTAGGAACTTTCACAAGATGTGTGGGCATCCCCTGTCTACCATAGGACCCCCTTCCCCTCTTGGTTTGTACAAATCCAATCACGTGTACTCCCCCCCCCCCCTCTTTCTCTCTTTTCTTGCTGGTCCTGAGATTGAACTTAGGGCCTAGCCACTGTCCCTAAGCCTCTCTGTGCTCAAGGCTAGCGCTCTTACCACTTGAGCCACAGCACCACTTCTGGATTTTTCTGAGTAGTTTATTGGAGATAGTCTCATGGACTATTCTGCCAAGGCTGGCTTTGAACCATGATCCTCAGATCTCAGCTTCCTGAGTAGTTAAGATTACAGGTGTGAGCCACCAGCATCCATCCTTCTCTCTCTCTCTGTTAACTTATTCATTCATCTATCTATTCAGGCATTCATTCACCCACCCATCTACCCATCCATTCATCTATTCATCTACCCATTCATTCATCCATCTACCCATTCATTCGTGTATCCATCCACCACCCATCCATTTATCCATTTACCCATGGCTCATTTGTTCATCCATTCATTGGGGACATTCTAGGATGTCCCCCAGAGGACACAGGCGGGGTCTCTGAGGCTATAGATGAGTTGCAGAGTGAGGAGTCCTTGGTCCTGGAAGGCTGTGGGGATGGGAGGGGGTTGATGGATGGCTCAGTCTAGAGATATGGCCCCAAGATTGGGAGCTGTGTGTGTGTGTGTTAATGTGGGTGCTGTATGTTGGGGTGAAGAAGGTGAAGACACACAGACAAGCCCACCTGACACCAGAACAGAAAGGGGGGGGGCGAAGGGCAGGGGCCAGGAAACACAATGTCACCAAGATGAAGGGTTACAGGTCTGCACCCCGGGAGGGCAGGCCCCCACACCCTCCTCCTTCCAGGCCCAAAACTCACGGGGCCCCATCCCAATTACCTAGGAGGGGACCAACCCACCTGGGCCAGGGCGGGGCGGAGGAATCCGGATGCCTAGGGATCTTCAGGGAGAACCAGCCAGACAGCAAGCCAGAGCTTCAGGGGCTGCCGACAGAGAGGGAGTTGCAGCTCAGTGCTACTCATCGCCATGGGGCTCCCCGGACACATCCTGCTCTTCCTTTTAGGAACTGTCTTCTGCCTGCCAGGTACCTGACCTTCTAGTCTGACAGGAAGAGGATGAGGGGCCTAGACCCCTGGGTCTGAGGGAGGAGGCTGGTGTCTGGACCCCTGGGTCTGAGGGAGGAGGCTGGGGTCTGGAATTCTGGGTCTGAGGGAGGAGGTCTGGGACCTGGAGTTCTAGGTCTGAGGGAGGAAGTCTGGGGCCTGATATTCTGGATCTGAGGGAGGAGGTCTGGGGCCTGGACCCCTGGGTCTGAGGGAGGAAATCTGGAGCCTGGAGTTCTGGGTCTGAGGGAGGAGGTTGTGGAGACAGTCCTCCTTTCTCTTCCCCTGCTCCGTTCTTCTATCATCAGTCACTCTTTCTGGCCACTGCCTTCTCCTTCCTCTTGCCTGAAGATATTTCTGGGAGCCATCGGGGGCCATTTTCCAAGCTGGCAGTGTTTGCCTTCCTCCCAGCTCCCCCCAACCCCCATGGTCTCAGTGGAAGAGGCCTCAGGGCCCTGGAGCCATGGCAAGGTGGCTGCTCCTGAGTGAGAACTGTGCGCATGCGCTCACCTGTGGCCGGCTTGGGCTCTGTGGGCCCCTGGGCCATGTTTCTATATCAGGGCCCTTTCAAAAGTGAATTTGAGGGTCTGTTCATCTTGAAACTCTAAATGAATGGGTGCATAGTTCCACCGGTCTATGTTTCATGAGATGGAGACCTGTATTTAAGTCTGTGTGTGTTTTCATGGTGTGTGTGTGTGTGTGTGTGTGTGTGTGTGTGTGTGTGTGTGTGTGTGTGTATACCAGTACTGGGGCTCGAACTCAGGGCCTGGGCACTGTCCCATAGTTGTTGGTTTTTTTCTTTCTCTCAATGTTGGTGCTCTACCACTTGAGCATGACCTCTACTTCTGGTTTTTCAGTGGTTCATTGGAAATTAGTCTCATGGACTTTCCTACCCAGACTGGCTTTGAACCTCAATCTTCACATCTCAGCCTCCTGAGTAGCGAGGATGACAGGCATGAGCCACCCATGCCTGGCTGTCCTCTATGATTTGAAACTGAACTGTCATGGCTTGGATTTTGGTGATTTTGTAACAATGATGTGTTCTCGCTAAACTGTGATGCATGTGGTTCACGAGTGATTCATGTGTATCGTTTCTCTGGGTTTCCTGTGTTTCAGATCCCTCTGTGTGTCACTGCTGTCACCCATGTCAAATCGCAGTGGCAGCCACACACCTGGGTGTCCACAGCACAGCCATGTGGGTTCACAAGGCTCAGTTGTGTCCTTCCACGTGGGATGTGCTTGGCCCTGTGTTCAAGCGTGGTGCGCATGTGTGGCCAGCCCGGCTGTGTGTGCAGGCTGTGGTGGGATGTCTGTCTCCCACAGGTGTGCCTACTCCGTGGAGCTGGGGAGGGGTGGGAAGCTCACTCGTGAGTCACTTCTTTATCTAAATCACCTGGACGAGGAGGAGTTTGGGAACAGTCAGGAGGGAAAAACTGGACAAGCAGCCCCACCATGACACAGCCCCTGGCTCAGCTGGGATGGGCCACAGTCACAGGCCCTGGGCACAGGATCCAGTCACGTGGTACCCTGAAGTCCTCGGCCAGGCTCTCCCCTGCTCCCCTGACCCAGCCCTTCTCCTTCCTAGGGTCCAAAGCTTTGCAATGCTACAGCTTTGAGCACACCTACTTTGGGCCCTTCGACCTCAGCGCCAAGCGTCTTCCCAACGTGTCCTGTGCCCAGGGCTGCTCCGAGGTGCTGCTGTCGCTGGACACTGGTGAGGAGTTGGGAGAGTGAGAAGAGGGAGGGGAGGGGAGGAGAGGGAAGGGGAGGAGAGAGCCAGGGCTGAGAAATTGGGGAGGAGCTGGGCACTGATGGCTCACGCCTGTCATCCTAGCTACTCAGGAGGCTGAGATCTGAGGATCATGGTTCCAAGCCAGCCCAAGCAAGGAAAGTCTGTGAGACTCTTACCTCAAATGAACCACCAGGAAACTGGAAGTGGCGCTGTGGCTCAAGTGGTAGAGCGCTCGCCTTGAGCTGAAGAGCTGAGGGATAGCGCCCAGGCCCAGAGTTCAAGACCCATGCCTGACAAAAAAGAAAAGAAATTGGGGATGAGAGGAACGGTAGGGAAGGATAGAGAGAATGGGAGGAGCATTTGCTACAAGAGGACAGAAGGGATAAGGGAGGAGAGAGGGAAGGGGGAAGAGAAAGGAAAGAGGAGAGAGGGAAAGAGGAAGAGGATGAAAGACAGAAAAGCCGATGGGAGGGAGACAGGCCTGGAGCTGAGGGCTGGAGGAGGAGGGAGGGAGAAGAGGTGGGTGACAGCAGAGGGGAGGAGAAAAGAGAGGTGACAACAGAGGCTCCCCCTCCTCCCCTCTTCTCTTCCTGCCCTCTTTCTCTCCTCCTCCTCTCTTCCTCTCCTCCCCCTTCCCTCCTCCTCTTCTCCTCCCATCCTCCCCTTCCTCTCCTCTCCCCCTCCCCTCTTCCTCTCCACCCCTCCTCTCTCCTCCGCCCCTCCTCCCCTCGTCCTCTCTTCCCTCCCCTCTGCCTGTCCTCCCCTTCCTCCCACCTCCTCCTCCTCCTCCCCTCCACTCCTCCCTTCTTACCGCAGGGTACCGGGCGACGGTGACCATGGTGAGGAAAGGCTGCTGGACGGGCCCCACCACAGGCGCCATGCAGACCAACCAGAACGCGCTGCCGCCGGACTACGCGGTGGTTCGCGGCTGCGCCACCGACTTCTGCAACGTGGACCTTAGGACCCACGACAGCCTCCCCAACCTGAGCCACGGTGGGCGTGGCCGGCGGGGGCGTGGCCGGCGGGGCAGGAGGGGCGGGGCGGGGCGGCAGAGGCGGGGCCTAGTGATAGGTGAATGGGCCCGCGGGGCGCGAGTGACGGGCGGGGCCTGTTGTGGGCGGAGCGTGCCTCACGTCGTGTGGGCGTGGTCTCGCGGTGGGCGGAGCCTCGCCAGCACCTCCGGGCCGGGCCCGGGCGTTCAGTGCGCGCCTCCAGGGCCTGACGCGGCCTCTGCCCTCTGGCCAGCGCCGGACCCGCCCCGGCTCAGCGGCTCCGAGTGCTACGCCTGCGTGGGGGTGAACCCCGAGGACTGCTCCCCCGAAAAGTCCCGACGAGTCCAGTGTCACCAGGACCAGAGCGCCTGCTTCCAGGGCAGCGGCCGGATGAACATCGGTGAGGGACTGGAAGGGTGGACGGGGCGGGCAGGGCAGGCGGAGGGCGGAGCACCACCTGCGGGCGGGGGGGGGGGGGCGGGCCCTGGTCCTGGCCCGACCCCTCCCGCCCCTGCCCACTGCAGGCAACTTCTCGGTGCCCGTGTACATCCGGACGTGCCACCGGCCCGCCTGCACCACCATGGGCACCACCAGCCCCTGGACGTCCATCGACCTCCAGGGCTCCTGCTGCCAGGGGCGTCTGTGCAACGCGGGCTCCGTGGCCCAGCCCTTCCACTCCGCCGCCCCGCCGCGGGCGCCCCACGGCCTGGCCCTGCTCCTCGCCGCCCCCCTGCTGGCCCTCGCCATGGCGGGACCCCTGCGGCTCATGGTTTAGACGGCTCCCCCACACACACACCAGGGTGCTGGGGGCAGAGTCCCCCGCACCCCCTTTCTCCTCGCTGCGATCATCTGCTCACTGGGGAGGGGGGATGGTCCAGGAGTGGCCATGACCCCCACCCCTCCCCCTCCTTCCCCACTGTCCCCTGCTTAAGCCGGGGAGAGGGAGAAAGGGCCACGCCCTGCCCCCCCTCCCCAGCTCCCCAGCTGGGGAGCAAGAGAAAAGAGCTTCAGGGTGGGGACGCTTCTTTCTTATCCAAACCACAACAGCCACAGTGAACACCTCAGTTTCAGTATCAGCCTGCAGCAGAGCCTGCACCCATCCTAAGAGCCAACAATTCCACACGCTACCGGTACTAACTCACCATTCCCCCAAAACACATGGACTATACAGGGTCCCTAGCAGGACCGTCCATAACAGTCATCAAGTAGAAACAACCCTATATCTATCCCCATAAGCAATCAAACACTCAAAGTGATTGTGGCCCACGCACCTGATGGAATAGTATACAGAGACCAAAAATGAGCCATCCACAGCAACATGCAACAGCACAGACAAATCTCAGCACAGAGGGTTGAGGATAATAACAGGCACCCACGAGAACACGTTACACTAATCCATTTGAGCAAAGTATGAAAGGTTTTTTGTACAAAAATGACAGAAATGTGGGGCCAGGTGAGGAGGTGCACACCTATAATCCCAGCTATTCAGAAGGCAGAAACATAGGTGGACAATGGGCCAAAGCCAGCAAAGAAAGAAAGAAGGAAAGAAAGAAAGAGAGAGAGAGAGAGATAATGAGACCCTAACTCAAAGAATAAGCCCGGTTGGGTTGGCACAATTACCTGGTGGGTGGAAGTAGGAAGACTGAGGTCTGATGCTGGTCCCTGTTTGAAAAAAAAAAAAAGTATGAAAAATAAACTAAAGCAAAAAGGACTGGTGACATGGCTCAAATGGTAGAACGCCCACCTGGCTGGTGGAAAGATCTAAGTTCAAGTCCTAGTACCACAAAAAAATAATGTAGAGGCTGGGAAGGTGGCTCAGTGGTAGAGCGCTTGCCTTGCATGCCTGAGGCCCTGGGTTCAATTCCTCAGCACCACATAAGCAAAAAGAAAAAAGCCGGAAGTGGCGCTGTGGCTCAAGTGGTAGACCATTAACCTTGAGCTGAAGAGCTGAGGGACAGCGCCCAGGCCCAGAGTTCAGGCCCCACGACCGGACCCAAAAAAAAAAAAAGAGGAGATGGGGAATACATGTGTATGTGTGTGGAAGTGTCACAATGATCCCCCTCTTTACAACTAAAGTATGAAGAAGGGAGGGAGGGAGGGAGGAAAAGGAGATGAATCTAGTCTGAGAGAAGAGGCATGGAGGCTTGGTCTGTGGGAAGAGGCATGGGTCATCTCGATAGAAATGATCCTTGAGAACTGATGGCTGGAAGCGGGAAGGGGGTTCTGGGGATTCACACACAGTTACTTGGTCTGAGAACTTGGTGATGTTTACTTATGACTGTCGCCGTTTTTCACACACACGTTCAGTGTTTTCAATCAAAGAGATTTTTTAAAGTTTTCTTGGTGCCACCAGGCACCGGTGGCTCACGCCTGTCATCCTAGCTACTCAGAAGACTGAGATCTGAGATTCGTGGTTTAAAGCCAGCCCAGGTAGGAAAGTTCATGAGACACTTATCTCCAATAAACCACTCTAAACCACTCAAAACCACAGAAGTCGTGCTGTGGCTCAAGTGGTAGTGTTAGCCGTGAGCTGAAGAGCTGAGGGACAGCGCCCAGGCCCAAAGTTCAAGCCCCAAAACTGACCAAAAAAAACTGGGAGTGGAGGTGTGCTTCAAATGGTAGAGTGTCAGCCTTGAAGGAAAAAGCTCAGGATCAGCACCCAGGCCCCAAGTTCAAACCCACATACTAGCATACACACACACGTGCACACACACAGAGTATGTGTGTGTATATGGAAATTGACAGGCCAGATACCCACTGAGCTCACAGAGGTTCCACCCCCCCTTGGGCACACAGGTGCCATCTTTCCTCAGCAGTGACCACAACCCACTGCCTGTACCCAACACCAGACGCTGTCCATCCACAGGATCCTCAGGCCCTCCCTAGACCAACAGAGTGGAAGCCTCGGTCAGCACCAAGGACAGGTCTCAAAACAGAGCCAGGCCTCCTGCAGTGGGGAAGGGGAAAGGAGGGGGGAGGGGGGAGACAGGGAAGGAGAGGGAGGAGGAAGAGGAGAGCGAGTAGGAGAAAAGAGATCTGCACAGATTAACTGAGAAAGACTCAGAGGCAAATCGAAGCAAAATGACAGACTGCAATTTACAGAGCAACATTTCCATGATTGATTCACATACCTGAGTACATCTGATTGTGGAAAACCTGAAGCCTACAAAAGATTGCAGGAGTATAATAGCAGCAGCTGCTGCTGCAGCTTCTTCTTCTTCTTCTTCTTCTTCTTCTTCTTCTTCTTCTTCTTCTTCTTCTTCTTCTTCTTCTTCTTCTTCTTCTTCTTCTTCTTCTTCTTCTTCTTCCTCCTCCTCCTCCTCCTCCTCCTCCTCCTCCTCCTCCTCCTCCTCCTTCTCCTCCCCCAAAGTATACTATCTGAAAAAGATTTGAGTACATATTTTTTCTCAAAATTCTCATAGCTGGTCAGCCTTTGAGTGACTCACACCTGTAATCCTAGCTACTCAGGAGAATGAGATCTAAGGATCATGGTTCAAAGCTAGCCCAGGCAGAGAAAATCCGTGAGACTCTTATCTCCAATAAACCACCAGAAAACTGGAAGTGGAGCTGTGGCTCAAAGGGGTAGAGTGCAAAAGCTCAGGGACGGCGCCCAGGCCCTGAGTTCAGGCCCCACGACTGATAAGAAAATAAAGATGAAAATAAATTTTAAAAAAAAAGAGAGAGGAAAAGGAGAAGGGAATGAGGCCCACAGTGGGAAATGAAGACCAGGAGACATAAAGGCTGAGATAGTGACTTCGAAACAGACTGAAAACGAGATCTTCAGGTTGACAAAAGCACACGGTCTGTGTCCCTTGGTCTGGAAGTGACAGGACACATAGACAAGAGATGTTCCCTCTGTTCATTGCTCTGTCCCCAGTTCTCAGATCAGGGGTCTGGCACCACCCAGAGCTTGTTCCCATGGGGAGAGCCCAGGGAAGCAGAGAGCCTGCAGTTCTCCACAGTGGCCACGAGGTGGCAGTGTCCTCCCGAGCGACTCCCAGGCTTGGCCACCAGGAGACCTTGGTTGCTGGCTTTGCCCTGATTTTCAGGATTTCCCAGCGCCCAGGCCCCGGGGCGACAAGTGACCTTTCCGCCAGAGACACCCTCTTCTTCCTTCCCTTCGCCACCAGGCCCAGTTCAACAACCCTTTGTCCTTGGCCCTTTCCGGCTGTGCCCTCCTTGGGTACCTGGGTCCCTTCCAGGCCCGGAGACAGGGCCTGGGACTAGGCCAAGGGAAAGGTTTGGAACCTTCTTCCCTGTTCCCAGGGCTGAAGCAGAATGGCAGGATCCAGTGCTACCTGCACCCAGGAATCCAGACCCCAGTTCCTCCTCCCTCAGACCCAGGGGGAACAGTCCCAGCCTCCTCCCTCAGACCTCCATCTCCTGGCCTCTCTTCTGCACCAAGACTACCCACCCTTCTGACAGAGACCCCCTCTCTCTCTCCACTCCATGTTCCAGGGTTGAGGCTAAGGCTGAGTCACAGCTCAGCCCCTCCCTGCACTGGGGGGAGTGGGCAGTGGAGAGGTTTCCTACTAGCCAACCCCAGTGTCAGAGTTTCAGACTAGAGGTAAGAGCTAGTCACAGGTGGCCTCATGGCTGTAATCCCAGCTACTCAGGAGGCTGAGATCTGAGGATCACAGTTCAAAGCCAGCCCGGGCAGGAAAATCCTTGAGACTCTAATTCCAATGAACCAGCAAAAAGCTGGAAGTGGGGCTATGGCTCAAGTGGTAGAGTGCCACCTTAAGCACAAAAGCTCAGGGATAAGCCAGACACCGGTGGCTCATACCCGCCCTCCTAGCTACTCAGGAGGCTGAAATTTGAGGACTGAAGTTCGAAGCCAGCCTGGGCAGGAAAGTCCATGAGACTCTGATCTCCAATGAGTCATCAGAAAACTGGAAGTGGCGCTGGCGCTCAAAGCGGTAGAGTGCTCGCCTTGAGCAAGAAGAGCTCAAGAGACAGCGCCCCAGGCCCCGAGTTCAAGTCCTAGTAACAGCTCAGAGAAGGTGGAGACAATCAAAGAGACACAGAGGCTCAGAGGCAGAGACGAGGGGTGGGGAGAGAGAGAAAAAACAGAGAGAGAGAGAGAGAGGAGGGAAAGAAGTGGAGACAGAGATGGAGACAAAACCCGCAGGCCTCAGGGCTGGGCACGGAGGAGGAGGAGGAGGAGGAAGGGGAGGAGGAAGAGGAGGGGGAGGAGGGGAGGCAGCGGCCCACAGTGCCTGGGGCAGCACTTTCTCTGGGGTGACCCACGTGTGGTGTGGGCGCGCCAGGGCGTGTCCCCATGTGGGGATGACGGGTCGGGACACCCCCTCCCCACACGGGCTGTGTTTCTGTCACTGGGCGTGTCTGCGTGTGGTTTGGTGTCTCTGGGTGTTGCCAGGACTGCCTCTCCCGGAGTGTGTCACGTCCTGTGGCTGGCATGTGCGGGGCTGTCTGCGTCTCTCGCGGTGTCTCACAGTGGCCGCGTGGCTGCTTGAGGGGTCACGGCCACCAGTGGCCACCTGCGCAGGTCTGCGTGTCCCCTCCGGGCGCGTTCCCTTCTTTCCTGGGTCACAGTCACCAAATGCAGGGCTTGAACTCGGGGCCTGGGTGCTGTCCCTGAGCTTTTTCACTGGAGGCTGGCGCTCTGCCCACGTGAGCCTCAGCCCCACTTCTGGCTTTTTACTGGTTCATCAGAGTCCCACAGACTTCCCTGTCCAGGCTGGCTTTGAACGTCGATCCTCAGATCTCAGCCTCCTGAGGAGCTGGGAGTCCAGGCGTCGGCTCAGGGTGTGTTTGAATGAGGATACTCCCACTGTGTGGGGACCACAGTTGCCCCCATGGAGAGGGAGGGGTGCGGAGGCTGTGACCCTGGTGTGTGTGTCACTGGTGTGTGTGTCTGATCGCGCGTGTGACACACGGTTGGCGTGGCCTCCCGGTCAGCGCTGTGAGGGAAGAGGTGCTTGTGTGTGGCCGGGTCGGGGTGGGCGCGTGTGTCCTGCAGCCTGCCGGGTCCTATAGACGTGTGTCTCACGTGTGCGTGTCCGGATGTGGCATGGGGGGGGGTGAGTCACCGTGGGCCCCCGCGTGTCCCCTCCGCTGGGACCCTGTGACTGCCACCACCACGTGTGTGAGTGGCCGGCTCTTCCCTGCTCTGCCCCGGACACGCCCAGCGCTTCCTTGGCCTGGGGTGGGGAGGTTTGGGGGAGCCTCCCCTCACTGCCCTCCCTCTGCCCTCCCCGCCCCTCCTCCCCGCCCTCCCCGCGGGCCGCCACCCCTCCTCCCCGGAGGGCACCGGCCTGGGAGCGCTCGCCCGGCTGCCTGCTACCAAACTGGCTGCTATTTGCGTGCTGAGAGGTGGGGGGCCCTGGGCAGGAAGCTGGCTGAGCCCCAAGACCTCGGGGGCCATGGGCGGGGAGCCGATGGCCGGCCTGGGGGCCCTGCGGCGTCGCAAGTGGCTTCTGGAGCAGGAGAAGCTGCTGGCGGGCTGGGCGCTGGCGCTGGCCGCGCTGGGAGTGGCGCTCATGGTGCTGCACGCCGAGATGCTGTGGTTCGGGGGCTGCCTGGTGAGTGGGGGGCAGGGGCTGGGGGGGGTCGCACCCCGGGGCTGAGGGAGGAGGCTAAGGTGTGGACCCCTGAGCCTGAGGGAAGAGGCTGAGGTCTGAACCCTTGGGTCTGAGGGAGGAGGCTGAGTTCTGAACCCTGGGTCTGAGGGAGGAGGCTGAGTTCTGAACCCCTGGGTCTGAGGGAGGAGGCTGTGCTTGGATCCCTGTGTCTGAGGGAAGAGGCTGAGTTCTGAACCCTGGGTCTAAGGGAAGAGGCTGAGTTCTGAACCCCGGGGACTGAGGGAAGAGGCTGTTGTCTGGACCCCTGGGTCTGAGGGAGGAGGCAGTGCTTGGACCTCTGTGTCTGAGGGAGGAGGCTGAGGTCTGAACCTCTGTGTCTGAGGGAAGAGGCTGTGCTTGGACCCCTGTGTCTGAGGGAGGAGGCTGTTGTCTGGATCCCTGGGTCTGAGGGAGGAGGCTGTGCTGTGCTTGGACCCCTGTGTCTGAGGGAGGAGGCTGGGCCTGGCCCGGGCATGGTAGTGGTGGCAGCGGGAGTTTGGGGCCGGGCTGCACCTGTGCGTCGGCTGGCGGGTGTGGCAGAGCCAAGGGGGGAGAACCCCGTTGTATTCAAAGAGGGTGAGAGATGGGGGGACCTGGTGCCCCTCACTTCCTCCCTGTGGAGCCTCAGTTTCCCCTGGAGTGCAGCTGTGGCAGTGGTGTCTGGGTCTCAGGGGCGGGGGTGGGAGGGGAGGCCTGGACTCCGAGGTGGATGGAGGAGGAGGCTGGTGGGGGGAGATGGCCAACTTGGAGGCCAGTGGGGTGGGTGGGGCAGGGACAGGTCCCCGCAGGCCTCTGGAACATTCCAGCCCCTGGTAAGGGCAGTGAGGGAGGAGGGCAGAGGACTTGGGATCCCTTGGGTGGGTTGAGGGGGAACAGGGGAGGGAGGGGCTTGTAGGCCTGGAGGGGGATGGGCACGGGTCCCCCCGTGGGGCGCGGGGGTCAGCGCAGGGCAGCGGGCGGGCTGGCACGGGGGCGGGGCCGCGGGGCCGCGTGGCGCTGCCAACAGGAAGCGTGGCCGGGCCGGCCTGCCGCTCCCATGCCCGCCCCCCTCCGTCCCCCTCCCTCTGCCAGCTTGTGAAGGGGGGGAGCTATGGTCATTCTCTCGGAGCCTCAGTTTCCCCAGTGGTAAGACCGGGTTCTCAGTGCGCTGGCTCCTCCCTCTTCGTCTTCTAGAACAAAAGTTTCTGTGGTTAGTTTTTGTAGTCCCGGGGATTGAACCCAGGGCCTCCCGGCTTGAGGCCCCTCCCCCCTCCCCCTCCCCCGTCAGCATCTGCCCCGTATGCCCACACCCCTCTCTATCTGAACAACCCCCCTCCAGGTGGAGGAGGGGGGAGGGGGAGGGAACCCCTGGGGAGTGAAAGAGAGCGAGGTGAGGCTGGGGGAGGGAGGGAGGCAGACACCAGCACCACTGAGGAAATTCACCAGTGGAAGCAACACACACAGAGAGATAGAAAGGCCCACATGAGAGCTTCCCAGCCGGGCTCCGGGGTTCACGCCTGTAATCCCGGCCCTGAGAAGCCAGGATTACAGTCACTGAACTCCAGGCCAGCCAAGGGCTGTGCAGAGCGCTCACAAGTCAGAGCCTGGACTCTACTGCCAGAGCCTGTGTGAGAGACAGACAGAGACAGAGAGGTCAGTTGGCAAGGGGCAAGGAGAGGGAAGGGAGGGGGGAGAGAAGGAGAGGGAAGGGAGGGGGGAGAGAAGGAGAGGGAAGGGAGGGGGGAGAGAAGGAGAGGAGGGAGAGAGGGGGAGAGGAGGGGGCCAGGGGAGAGGAGGGAGAAGACCAAGGACACCCCCTAGACGCACATTGCATTATGGGTAGAAGGCCATGGAGGTGGAAGCGGGAATAGGGAGCCCTTGAAGGGTGCAGGAGTGGGGGAGGGCACGGGACAAGGGTGCCATTGTTCGGGGAGGGGTGGGGGCAGCCCCCCGAGGCAGGAAATTGCCCTCACCCCCGCTTTCCCCAACTCTGGGGCACAGCCCTGACTGGGGTGCAGCAGGGAAGCTGGCCTTTGGTCCCAGGAGAAGCAGGTGCATGGGGGGGGGGGCAGACGCCGCCCTCCTGTCTCTGACAGCTTCCTCCCCCAAAACAGGGCCCCCCCCCAGCCCATCTCAGGGGACTCAGCAGTCCCAGGGCCCTCAAAACCCTCCCTCCCAAATTCTACCTTCCTGCAAGGTAGCGCTACACAAAGAGAGGAAAAAGAAAACTTCTGGTAGTTTCTGGAGGCCCCATGCTTCCGGCCAGATCTGGGCTTCCAGCCCAGAGAGGGTGCAGGAGAAAACAAGGCGGGGGGGGGGGGGGGCGGCGGGACGGGAAATCCCCCCTTCTCAGAAATAGGGCTGAGATCTTGGGGATCCAGTCCTCAGGATAGAGACGGTGTCATTCATTTGTTCTTGGGGAGTTTGATGGAAGTTTCTAGACTGTTCTGGAATAGGGGTGGGGATGGTGGGTGATTTCAGGGGCAGGGAAACTGCTGGGTGGTCAGGCAAGGGGGTGGGGTGCTTTTTAGAGGTCAGGTGACTTTTTCTAGCTGTCCCTCCACCCACCTAACTGAGGGTGGGGGAGGGGAGGAAGGAGGGATGTGAGTTTCAAGGCTCCCCCTGCAAGGAGCAGGGTGGGTGGTGTGGGCATAGGGCTGTCCAGTGGGGTTGCAGAGATCAGGCAGCGTGGGGGGGTGGTGGCTTGAGGCTAGACGGGAGGTGGGACTGGCTGAGCGTGCTCTCCTCCACAGTGGGCTTTCTACCTGCTCCTGGTTAAGTGGCTCATCAGCCTGTCCACTGCGCTGCTACTCGGCCTCATCGTGGCCTTCCACGCCAGGGAGGTCCAGGTAGGAGCCGCCCCCACCCACAGCCCACGCCCTGCGTGACACCAGGAGGGGGCCCCACTTCCCCCCCTTCTCCACCCCCCCCCCCCCCCCGCCAGACACCCCGGCAAACAGACACAAAAACACACAGACAGAGCCAGCCACCGTGGGTCACACCTGTAATCCTAGCTACTCAGGAGGCTGAGATCTGAGGATCGCGGTTCAAAGCCAGCCTGGGCAGGAGAGACCGTGAGACTCTTATCTCCAATAAACCACCAGAAAACCGGAAGTGGCGCTGTGGCTCAAGTGGTAGAGCGCTCGCCTTGAGCTGAAGAGCTGAGGGACAGCGCCCAGGCCCAGAGTTCAAGCCCCACGACCGACCAAAAAAAGAAAGAAAACAAAAAACAGACAGGCACACGGACACACTGACAGACAGACAGGCAGATTGACAGACACACAGGTTGACAGACACCCAGAGGCACAGACTGACAGACACACAGGACACTCAGACATGTGGACACACCGACAGCCATACAGACTGACAGACACAGACAGAGATGCAGACACACAGACGCACACAGATTGAGAGAAACACAGAGACCCATATAGATAGACACACAGACAGACCGACAGATGGACAGACACACAAGACATTCCAACATGTGGATACACCGACAGCCTACAGCCTGACAGACACAGACAGACCAACACAGTGACACACGGAGACGCAGACACGCATACAGACAGACAGGCAGACAGACACAGTTCCCCTCCCCAGGACAGTGGGGCCTGCTGGGCTTGGGCACATAGTAGTTGCTGCGTTCATGTTCACGTCTGTTTGTGCCAGGCATGTTCTGGGCTGGGCAGAAAGGCAGAGGGTGTGGGGCAGGGGGTGTGGGGCAGGGGCAGGGGCAGGGGGTGTGGGGCAGGGAGCGTGGGGCAGGGGCGTGGGGCAGGGGGCGTGGGGCAGGGGCAGGGGGCAGGGGGCGTGGGGCAGGGGGTGTGGGGCAGGGGGCGTGGGGCAGGGGGTGTGGGGCAGGGGCAGGGGCAGGGGCAGGGGGCGTGGGGCAGGGGCAGGGGGCAGGGGCAGGGGCAGGGGGCGTGGGGCAGGGGGCGTGGGGCAGGGGGCGTGGGGCAGGGGCAGGGGGCGTGGGGCAGGGGGCGTGGGGCAGGGGCAGGGGGCGTGGGGCAGGGGCTGGGGCAGGGGGCGTGGGGCAGGGGCAGGGGCAGGGGGCGTGGGGCAGGGGCAGGGGGCGTGGGGCAGGGGCAGGGGGCGTGGGGCAGGGGCTGGGGGCAGGGGGCGTGGGGCAGGGGCAGGGGCAGGGGCAGGGGCAGGGGGCGTGGGGCAGGGGCAGGGGGCAGGGGCGTGGGGCAGGGGCAGGGGCGTGGGGCAGGGGGCGTGGGGCAGGGGGCGTGGGGCAGGGGCAGGGGGCGTGGGCGTGGGGCAGGGGGCGTGGGGCAGGGGGCGTGGGGCAGGGGGATGTGGGGCAGGGGCAGGGGGTGTGGGGCAGGGGGTGTGGGGCAGGGGGCGTGGGGCAGGGGCAGGGGGCAGGGGGCGTGGGGCAGGGGCAGGGGCGTGGGGCAGGGGGCGTGGGGCAGGGGGCGTGGGGCAGGGGCAGGGGGCGTGGGCGTGGGGCAGGGGGCGTGGGGCAGGGGGCGTGGGGCAGGGGGTGTGGGGCAGGGGGCGTGGGGCAGGGGGTGTGGGGCAGGGGGCGTGGGGCAGGGGGTGTGGGGCAGGGGGCGTGGGGCAGGGGGGCGTGGGGCAGGGGGCGTGGGGCAGGGGCAGGGGGCGTGGGGCAGGGGCAGGGGGCGTGGGGCAGGGGCAGGGGGCAGGGGCGTGGGGCAGGGGGCAGGGGGCGTGGGGCAGGGGGCGTGGGGCGTGGGGCAGGGGGCGTGGGGAGGAGGCTGGCAGGCTGGGGGTGCCCCCCCCCTTCCTCAGTCTCCCCCCCTCCGCATGCTATCTCTCCCTCTTGCAGGCTGGGTGGACGCCCCGTGTTATCTGGGGGTGCAGGCCGGGCGCGCCCCTGACCCTCACCCTTTCCCCCGTCTGCAGCTGTTCATGACGGACAACGGGCTGCGGGACTGGCGCGTGGCGCTGACCCGCCGCCAGGCGCTGCAGGTGGCGCTGGAGCTGGCGGTGTGCGGGCTGCACCCGGTGCCGGCGCGGGGCGCGGCGTGCGGGCCGGGGCCGGGCGCGCGGCCCGGCTTCCTGGGCCAGGCCGAGGCGCTGCTGTCGCTGGCCATGCTGCTGCGCCTCTACCTGGTGCCCCGCGCGCTGCTGCTGCGCAGCGGCGTCCTGCTCAACGCCTCCTACCGCAGCATCGGCGCGCTCAACCAGGTCCGCTTCCGACACTGGTTCGTGGCCAAGCTGTACATGAACACGCACCCCGGCCGCCTGCTGCTCGGCCTCACGCTCGGCCTGTGGCTCACCACCGCCTGGGTGCTGTCCGTGGCCGAGAGGTGAGGGCGCTGCCGGGGGAGGGAGCGGAGGCCGGGGGAGGGAGGCTTCCCGGTGGAGGCTCACATTTTCCATCCTCTTTCATCCGGCCCCCGGGGCTGGCAGTTTGGACGCCTGCCCTCATCCTGGGAGGAACCAGCCCTCCGGCTCCCGCCTTTAGTCTCTGCACCCCCAGGAAGCCCCACCCCGCCTGGGGGCCTCACAGGCAGGATCGCAAGCATCTGCTCCTCCTGGAGGGGCCTCCCCAATCTTGACTTGAGGATTGGGGCTGGAGGGGTCTCCCCTTCCCCGGGCAGGGAGGGAAGGGGGAAGAGGAGCTAGCCCAGGCACACTGAGGCCCTGGGTTCAAATCTCAGCCCTGCCTGATTTGTATCCATGCTTGCTGGGGGTGGGGGCGGGGATATGGGATGGACTTAGATTCCTGGGTGGGGGAGAGAGAGAGACAGAGACAGATAGACAGAGACAGAGAGACAGACAGAGACAGAGAGAGACAGAGACAGACAGAGACAGAGAGAGACAGAGAGAGACAGAGACAGACAGACAGAGACAGACAGAGAGACAGACAGAGACAGAGACAGAGAGGGAGGAGAGAAGAGGGAGGGGGAGAGAGAGGAAGAGGGAGGGAGAGAGGGAGGGAGAGAAGGAGGAGGAAGGAGAGGGAGAGGGAGGGAGAGAGAAGGGATCTACCATAATTCTTTTTACATCTGTCTGTCTATCTTTTTTGGTGCCAGTCCTGGACTTGAACTCAGGGCCTGGGCGCTATCCCTGAGCTGCTTTTGCTCAAAGCCAGCACTCTACTACTTGAGCCACAGCGCCACTTCCAGCTTTCTTCTGAGAAGTGTATTGGCCTATTGGCCGTGAGCGTCTGACGCTGTGCTCTGTGAGCCTCTGCCCAGGCTGGCCTCCAACTGTGATCCTCCAGATCTCAGCCTCCTCATAGCTTAGATTACAGCAGGAGCCTCCCCACCTCATTCCCTCCCCCCCCCCCCAACCTAACTAGGAGCCTTTCTGGAAGTTCTGTCTGCTCCTGGGAGATCCCCCCATAGGTGGTACCCTCTTTAGCCTCCCTCTGCCCCGCCCCAGGGACTGTCCCACCAAACTCAACCACAGAACCAGACAGGCTTTGGAATCAGAGCCAGGTTCGAATCCCACGGGGACGTGGCTGGCTGGGCACCCCTCCGGGGCCACCCACGCTCAGACGGAGGAGGCAGCTGGGAGGGGAGAGGAGAAAGGAACAGGGTGACACCCAGGGTGGGGTCCCAGAACTCACCTCTCCCTGCCCGTAGGCAGGCTGTGAACGCCACCGGCCACCTCACGGACACGCTGTGGCTCATCCCCATCACGTTCCTGACCATCGGTTACGGTGATGTGGTGCCGGGCACCATGTGGGGCAAGATCGTCTGCCTCTGCACCGGCGTCATGGTGAGTCCCGCTCCTCAGAGAGACCCCATCCACAGGGCAAGGTCTGAGCTCACCAGAGCCTCACTTATTCCCTCCTCAGAACCCACATACTCCAAGCCTCTACATTCCTTTTTTCTTCTTCTTCTTCTTTTTGTTGGTCACGTGGCTTGAACTCTGGGCCTGGGCGCTGTCCCTCAGCTCTTCAACTCAAGGCGAGCGCTCTACCACTTGAGCCACAACGCCACTTCTGGCTTTTTCTGCTTATGTGGTGCTGAGGAATCGAACCCAGGGCCTCATGCATGCGAGGCAAGCATTGTACCACTGAGCCACCTTCCCAGCCCCACATCCCTATTTTTTCCCCCTTTTTTCTGACTTGCATGGAATTGAACCTAGAGGCTCCCTCTTGCTGATCAAGTATGCTATCATCTGAGCCACGCCTCCAGCCACTTTTGGAGTTGATTTTGAAGCCTGTGTTAACTTTGAACCGTGATTCTCAGTTCTCAGCCTCCTGAGTGGCCGGGATTACGGGCATGAAGCAAATGATTTCTGCCCTGCATCTCTGACAGTCTCTGGTTCTGTCCACTGGGGAGAGCTGGTAGCCCCCCCTCAGCCCCCCAGCCCCCCAATCCACCCTTCCTGCTCTGTTCCCACAGGGGGTGTGCTGCACCGCCCTGCTGGTGGCCGTGGTAGCCCGCAAGCTGGAGTTCAACAAGGCCGAGAAGCATGTGCACAACTTCATGATGGACATTCACTACACCAAAGAGGTGAGCGCCGCCCAGCCTCCTCTCCGGGCCTCAGCCGGGTGGGGCAGCGCATGCCTGTAGCCCCTGCTATTGGAGAGTGGAGGGGGAGGAAGGAGGCTCCTGAACCAAAGCAGACCCAATCTGAAAAAATAGGCTGGGGAAATGCGTGGCTCAAGTGGTAGTGCCGGGGAGGCCCTGAGTTCGAATCCCAGCTTTGTCTAATAATAATTATAGTAGTAGTCATAACAGTAACAGGAGCCAGGATCCCCGTGCTCCGCCTGCCCCTGCCCTCCCCCCCCCCCCCCCGCGGCCCCCTCCCCCAGCCCATTCCCACCCCCGTGCCCCCTCCCCCAGATGAGGGAGTCGGCGGCCCGGCTGCTGCAGGAGGCGTGGATGTATTACAAACACACGCGCAGGAAGGACACGCGTGCAGCCCGCAGGCACCAGCGCCGGCTGCTGGCCACCATCCACACGTGAGGGCCCCGGGGTGTCTGGCGCGGGGTGGGGGACGCATGGGGGATGCATGGGGACGTGACCACAGCTCCCCCCCATCCCCAGGTTCCGCCAGGTACGGCTGAAACACCGCAAACTGCGGGAGCAAGTCAACTCCATGGTGGACATCTCCAAGGTACGGGAGCGCCCGCCGGCTGGCAGGGAACGCTAGGAAACGTGCCGAATGAGCCTTTAGAGCTGGGGGAGGAGGGAAGCGTTGCGCTGGGCATCATGGTACACGCCTGTAATCCCAGCCACATAGGAGGCTGAGATCTGAGGATCCTGGTTTGAAGCCAGGCCAGTCCTGGAGCTTGAACACAGGGCCTGTCCCTGAGCTTCTTTTGCTCAAGGAAACTCTACCACTTGAGCCACAGCGCCACTCCTGGCTTTTTCCGTGTAATGTGGTACTGAGGAATCGAATCCAGGGCTTCCTGCATGCTAGGCAAGCGCTCTACCACTGAGCCACCTTCCCAGCCCCTATGAGACTCTGATCTCCAGTGAACTAGCAAAAAAGCTAGAAGTGGAGCTGTGGCTCAAAGTGGTAGAGCAGCAGCCTTGAGTGGCAAAACTCAGGAACAACATCCAGGCCTCGAGTTCAAGCCCCAAGACTGGCACCAAACAAAACAAGCCCCCCAAAACAAACAAAAAACATGGTAGAAAGAACTCCAAACTTTAGTATCAAACTCCCCTGTTTTCTTGTTCGTTTCCATTTCCTGGAGTTCACTTTGATACATATTGTTTTACGTGACCCACAGCAAGTTATCTTTATTGCTTACCTGCGGGGCGGATCTAGAATTCCTTCAGACTCTTTTATGTATTTATTTTTTTGGTCCGAGACCGCAGGCGCTCATTGGCTGGCGCTCTACCAACTGAGCCACGCCCCCAGCCCCCAGCCCGAAGCAAATAAAACCCAACTGAAGATACAAAGCAAACTCAAACCTCCATGGCAAAACCAATCCCGTTCAACCGAGCCAGGCTGGCACAAAGAAGACAGGTTCCTTGGTTGCCAAAAACTCCATCTCTGCAGCAGCTGTGACCAGGGCCTGTCTGGGCCGAGCTGGGTCTTGGCCAGTGACGGAGATGTCACACCTTTGGCCTGCCTGGTCCAACCTTTCCTTTCCCCAATGGGACTTTGCTTTCTCTCATTCGTGCGTGACGATTCAAACAGAGGCCTTGGGTCCCAATGCCAGGGTGACAGCCACAGGTCCCCACACTGATAGGAAAAACATCCGGCCAAGTGGCTGAGATTCAGGTGGCGGGCTGGTATAGTAGCATATGCCTATAATCCCGGCACTTGGAAGGTTGAGGCAGAAGGGCTTCGCAGCAAAGTCCCATCTCAAGAAAGGAATCAGAAGCCGGGTGGCTCACGCCTGTCATCCTAGCTAGTCAGGAGGCTGAGACCTGAGGATTGAGGTTCAAAGCCAGCCAGGGCAGGAAAGTCCGTGAGACTCTGATCTCCAATAAAGCACCAGAAAACCGGAAGTGGCGCTGTGGCTCAAGTGGTAGAGCGCTTGTGTTGAGCTGAAGAGCTGAGGGACAGAGCCCAGGCCCAGAGTTCAAGTCCCACGACCGACCAAAAAAAAAAAAAAATGGTACCAAGGAAGGTGACTGCTCCTGCCCCCCCCCCCCTCGGCCCCCCTGACGCCCCCCACCCCGTGTCTCTGCCCAGATGCACATGATCCTGTGTGACCTCCAGCTGGGGCTCAGCAGCTCACAGCAGGCTCTGGAGAAGCGGATGGACGTGCTGGCCGGGAAGCTGGACGCCCTGAGCGAGCTGCTCTCCACTGCCCTGAGAACCCAGCAGCCCCCAGAACCCAGCCAGGAGGCCCTATAGCTTGGTGAGGAGGAGGCTGCCAGAGGAAATGGGGTCTCCCTTCCCCAAGGCCTGGGCCCTAAAGACAGAGGCCACCTCTTCTGACAGTTGTCAGCTGAGCCAGGCGAGAGGGGAGGATATATCACACCGGGGCTGCCAGGCTCCAGCCCTCAGCACTGTGTCCCTCTGGTCTGCTCCTCTCTCCACGCAGCCCAAGGCTGGGTGCTGATGTCCCCCTATGCCTGGCGCAGACCCCCCCCCTCCCCCGTTCCTAGTGCCCCTGCTCACTCTGGTACTGCCTCCTCCCCAGGGACCCCCATCTCTACGTGTCCAGGATCCGGGCTCCAGTTTCTGGGGGTGAAGAACCCCCTTCCAGTGCCTCCCGACCAGCCCCAGGGATGAGGTGCCCCTAGGTGCAAAGACCCTTGGGGGACCAGCTGCAAGGGAGGGGGGACCAGCCAAAGTGGGGGGGGGCAAGGCCACAAGGTCACTACGACCCCGCCCCCCAACCCCCTCTTCTCAAACCTCACTGTGCTGCTACTGATGGCCGTGCCTCCAGGTAGAAGTGGAGGCGCTGGGGGTCGGGGGTGGACTCAGGAGTCCCGGTCACCCTGGATCGGCAAACTGGAAGGAGCCTGGCCGGCGCCCCCTGGTGGTCATCCCGGAGGACGCCGCGCGTCCACAGCCGCTTTCTACTTTGTTAATAAACGTTGCACACGGCGCGCTTTCTTCTCTTTTTCATACCAGTCCTGGGGCTTGAACTCAGGACCTGGGCACTGTCCCTGAGTTCTTTTACTCAAGTCTGGCGCTCTATCCCCTTGAGCCACAGCTCCGCTTCTGGCTTTTTCGTTGGTTCATTAGAGGTAAGAGTCCCATGGACTTTCCTGCCTAGCTGCCTTTGAACCGCGATCCTCAGAGCTCAGCCTCCTGAGTAGCTAGGATGACAGGCGTGAGCCACCATTGGTGACAGGCTCAAGAGACCTTCTGCCCTTTCCCCCCATTGTAGTCCCCAGAAACCTCATTTCCAGGCCTTGAATTCAGACCCAGTGGGGACCAAAGCCTTGCTGTGTGACCTGGAGCCGGTGGCCGTACCTCTCTGAAATGGCAGCGGAGGGACTCCTTGTTATACCGGGAGCCCCTTCTAGTCAGGCCCTGGGGTGCCACCATTAGAGACTAGCAGGACCCCATGCTGGCCTTCATACCCATTCCCAATTCTGGTCACAAGGCATCTGCTGGCCTTGGAGAGGAAAAGAATGGGTCGCAGATGCCAGGCTCTGCGCTTCCTGCCCGCAGTTCCCCCCCCACACACACAGAGAAACTGAGGTTTGAAGAGCAGTAGGGCCTGACCCAAGCCCCCCCCCCACCCCTGCCCTGCCCAAGGTGAGTCACAGCCCAGCGGCCTTGGGCCTCGAACCCCCGGCCTGCCTTCCCACAGGGGCTGTGTTCCTGGAGGGGCTGAGTCACCTGCCCCTGCCCGGCTATCTTAGGATTTGACTCAAAGGCCTCAGCCAACCTCAGCTCCAAGAGCTAAATCCAGCCTTGGCCAGCCTCTGCCACCACAGCCCTTCCTCTGGACAGTAGCCCAGGAAAGAATCATTCCCCTGCCCACCTCATCCCCCCCCGCCCCTCCGCCGACAGAGGCCACAGCCCCTGCTTGAACTCCCAGAAAGTAGAGGTGGGGAGATCGGGGGTTGAAGTCAACTCAGACAGAGTTACTCCAGACCCTATCTCAAAAACAAGCACAAGTCAGACAGTGGTGGCTCCCGCCTGTAATCTTAGCTACTCAGGAAGCTGAGATCTGAGAACTGTGGTTCGCGAAGCCAGCCTGGGCAGGAAAGTCTATGAGACTCATCTCTAATGAACCACCAGAAAACCGGAAGTGGCACTGTGGCTCCAAGTGGTAGAGTGCTAAAAAGAGCTCAGAGACAGTGCCCAGGGCCCCGAGTTCAAGCCCCACAGCTGGAAACGAATAAAATAAAAATAAAATAAAGGTGGCAGGGTGTTTGGCTGGCCCGTGTACCTTCACCTGTCCCCGCCACCAATCAAGTTTCTTGGGTCAGGAATGATGCTCCATCATCATATAAATGATCTCACAAAAGGAGGGGGGGAAAATGGGCACTGGGGATCCTGTTTTACAGCTGAGGAAACTGAGTGGCGGGAATGGGAGGAAGGCCCCCACCCAAAGCCGGACCAAAGAGGGAGAAGAAAACTGAGCACAGTAGCTCATGCCTGTAATCCCAGCACTCAGGAAGCTGAGGTAGGAACAAGGTAAAGTCAAGGTCAGCCTGGGCTACATAAGAGGACAAGGAAGTCCCTCCACCCAGCTAACTACCGTGTTGTCATTTTTGGTCACTATGGCTTCGTTTTGGTTGGATGGCTTGACAGAGTCTAGCCTCGTCTGGCCTTGGATTCCGGTCCTCCTGTCTCAGCCTCCGGGGTGCTAGGATTTATAGAAGTGCTCAAGGCCAAAGGCCCGGCAGACATCAGGCATCCGTGAATGTCACTACATGGACATGTTGACTCTCTGGGGTGGCCCCACATTCCAGAACCTTCTCTGCTGGTTTCAGCTGGTCAGGATGAGTTAGAGGATGCACAGTGTTCTGGAATATTCTGGGCTTGCTGGAGGCCCGGTGCCAGGCACCGGCTGCACATAGATGAGTCACGGCCGCCAGTTCCTTCTCCTATTTCTGGGTCTCCCTCACACCCACGAGAGGCGTGAGAGGCCCGGGGGGCTCACACAGGGTGGGTGCGGCCCCCCAGGGCGGCAGGGCGGGGGGCCTGGCCTCTGTTCTCTCCATGTTCCGAAGACCTCAGGCGGGGGCCCCTTCCCACCCCAGACCCCTGTGCAGGGCCCAAGCCAGGGACCAGCAACTCACTACAAGGCTGAGCTGGCTCTGTGGATTCGTGTGTGTGTGTGTGTGTGTGTGTGTGTGTGTGTGTGTGCATGTATTTATCTTTTTAGTTTGTTTGGCCTTGAACTTGAGATTTCCCTGCCTTCTGCCTCCTGAGTGCTGGGACTACAGGCATGAGCTACCATTCTCTCTCTCTCTCTCTCCCTCTCTCTCTCTCTCCCTCGCCCTCTCCCTCTGTCGGTCGTGGGGCTTGAACTCTGGGCCTGGGCGTTGTCCCTCAGCTCTTCAGCTCAAGGCAAGCGCTCTACCACTTGAGCTACAGCGCCACTTCCAGTTTTCTGGTGGTTTACTGGAGATAAGAGTCTCACAGACTTTCCTGCCTGGGCTGGCTTTGAACCGTGATCCTCAGATCTCAGCCTCCTGACTAGCTAGGATGACAGGCATGAGCCACCGGCACCTGGCTTTTTCCTTTTTTTTTTTTTAAACTCTAGGCTAATGTCCTACAAATAAGCCATGGCTCCATTTTGGGCTTTTCTGCTGGTGCATTGGAGATGAGAGTCTCCCGGCCTTCCCTTCCCCAGGGTTGACTTTGAATCATGATCTCAGATCTCAGCCTCCTGCTTAGCTGGGATCATCCCGGGCTATGAGGGTCCTCTCCCCCTCCCCGCCTTGCTTGTCTCCCAGGGGCCCTGCTGTGGTTCTGCAGTTCCACACCTGTGGGCACAGCCCAGCCCGGCTGATTAGCATAGGCCAGCCCCGCCCACCCACGCAAGCACTTATTTTCTTGTGGCAGTAACACTCCCGCCCGTGTTTAACAGCCTTCAGCCTTGTGTTATTAACTCTAGCCGCAGAGATGAGAGCCCAGATAACTTTGGGGTGGGTCTGACTCAGGCTTCCTGTCCCTCCCACATGCCCCCTCCCTCTCCCCCTTCCCCCTCCCTCCTCCCTTCTGGGGGGGAGGCCCACCTGTCCATCAGCTTTCCATCTTCCCAGGCCCATGGGGTCCCAGCAGGCCCAGCTGCGGCCTCTGCCCCTTCCTGCCAGGCAGGTTTGCATTCACCACTTTGTGTGCAAGGCCTGCTTCCAAAGCGTTAACATCGGTCTGGGAATGTGGCTCAGTGGTAGAGTACTTGCCTAGCATGATCAAGCCCTGGGTTCAATTCCTCAGTACCACATACACAGAAAAAGCCAGAAGTGGCGCTATGGCTCAAGTGGTAGAGTGCTAGCCTTAAGCAAAAAGAAGCTCAGGGAGAGTGCCCAGACCCTGAGTTCAAGTCCCAGGACTGGCAAAAAACAACAACAACAAAACGTTAACATCTTTTTTTGCCTTTTTGCAAATGTGGTGTGCGATTCTGGGTTTGAACGCAGGGCCTTGCATTTACTAGGCAGGTGCTCTAGCCCTTGGGCCACATCCTTGGTCCTTTTTTTTTTTGCTTCACTTTTTAGAAGTGCACTCTTTTGATTTGCCCTGGCTGGCTGGCTGGGCAGCTGGGATTACAGGTGTGCACCACTGGGCCTAGCTAAATACATTTTCTTTCTCTCTTTCGTGTGTGTGTGTGTGTGTGTGTGTGTGTGTGTGTGTGTGCCAGTACTAGGGCTTTGTAGCCCAGGCTAGCCTGAACTTGGCCTCCTCCTGCCTCTGCCTCCTGAGTGCTGGGATTATAGGCACATGCTACCATGCCTGGCTATTTCCTTGCGTGGGGGGGGGGGGGCGGGGTTTAAGGAAAATAAATATATTACTTATCTCTGCTGTATAATGTGGTGTTTGAACTGGCCCTGGAAAGTTAGTACATGGATCTCAGCCGGCATCTTAAATTCTCTAGAGAAATAACTCGTGTGTGTGATGGAAGCATTTGGGAGGCTGAGGTAGGAGGATGGGGAGTTGGAGGCCAGCCTGGCTACACAATCTGTGTGTGTGTGTGTGTGTGTGTGTGTGTGTGAGAGAGAGAGAGAGAGAGAGAGAGAGAGAATATATTTTGGAGGACAGGGTCACTCTATGTTTTCCAGTCTGGCCTCAAACTCATGAGCCCAGCCTCCTCAGTGACCGGGACTACAGGTGATCCCCACCGGACCCAGGGCTGCCGGAAGGGCTGGAGCAGGACAGTGGGAGGACAGGGACAAGATTCTTTAGGGACAAACATGGAGACAGGTCGGGCGCTGGCGGCTCACGCCTGTAATCCTAGCTGCTCAGGAGGCTGAGATCTGAGGATCCAGGTTCAAAGCCAGCCCAGGCAGGAAAGTCCGTGAAACTCTTATCTCCAATTAACCACCAGAAAACTGGAAGAGGCGCTGTGGCTCAAGTGGTAGAGCGCTCTCCTTGAGCTGAAGAACTGAGGGACAGCCCAGGCCCAGAGTTCAAGCTGCATGACCACCACCACCAACAACAACAACAAAACACAAAAACTTATAGACTTATAGGCCAGGGAAAGAGGTGAAATTTCAACTATGAGCCACCAGGGCTGTGAGGACCGATGTGATCTCATGTTTACATTGTAAAGATTTCCCTCCGGAACAATCAGAAGTTTATACTGTTTGCCCGCAGGGGTGAAAGTTATAAATTAATATGAGTCAGGGCTGGAAGACTCAAGAATGTGTAACTTTTAAGTCAGGCACGGGTGTGGTGGCTCATGCCTGTAATCCCAGCTATGCAGGAGGCTGAGATTGGAGGAGTGAAACCAGCTGAGGCAGGAAAGTCCAGAGACTCTTAGCTCCAATTGAACAGCAAAAAGCCGGAAGTAGAGCTGTGCCTCAGCTGGTCGAGCACCAGCCTTGAGCACAAAAGCTAAGGGACAGTGCCCAGGCCCTGAGTTCAAACTCCAGGATCCGAGAGCATGTGTGCGCGCGCACACACACACACACACACACACA